TATATATATATATATATATATATATATATATATATATATATATATATATATTCATAGACTACTAGGTGTATTACAATCCTATTTTTGCCTCTGTTTACCTCTTGCTCTTAAAACTGCCATTAAGCAACACTTTATGGGGGGAGGTTCTAGAAGCTATACTCTCCTTTTATTATTATTATTATTATTATTATTATTATTATTATATATATATATATATATATATATATATATGCATATATATATATATATATATATATATTAATCATATATTAAAATTAAACAGCCCAATATGCAAAAAAACAACTTTTAATCTATATTTTACTCACCAAAATAGATGTCCACACAAACTGACGACAGCATCTTTAGCAGTATCCAAACAAATATTACACTCGAACATCTGATCATCCTTTTTATCCTTATCACCATCGGCAGCATCACCATCTAATTTCTCATTCGGTTTTTTAACATCATCTTTTTCCTTATTTTCATTTTTAAGTTCATCTTTTTCTTCAACATTTGAAGTCGGCATGTTAGCCGTGCTGGTACTGGGTACTGCTGTGGTTGCCATTACCTAATTAAAAAAATATTTAGAACTAAAGATTTTAAAAAGATTATTTTGGTCGGGAAACAAAAGATGGACTTTGTGTCATAGTAAGGGATAAGTGTTACTACTTTGTGTCTTTTTAATTGAATGAATCAAAGCAAATTCATTCAAGAAGTCTTGATAAACAAATTACAAAGTAAAATTTGCAAAAACTAACCTTCACTGTCTTTGAAATTTTATTCAATGTTACAATTGCTTAACATCTTCAATTGTATTTCAAATTCATTTAATATTCATGAGACGCATTACAATAGTTAGGACGTCATTACTTAAAAGATAAAAAATGTATAGTAACACCTTTGTAAATTAATATTTATGTTTAAAACAGAAATCAGCCATGAAATTTTTTTTTTGACAGATCAAGTGAGCTTAAACCAAATTTATTTTTGTTAAATTTTAAAAGTGATGAACAACAAAAATAAATCTTACCAAATCATCTGCATGCATAAAAATACATTTATATATTACAAATACCTAAGAATTTTGAGATTATTTTTATCATGAATAAAAATAAATACTACGCCATATGTCAAACACCCAAAAACATCAAAACTCACCTAAATTTTTTTTCTAACGGCTTCTAATACTAATAAATTAATAAACTATTGATTCTTTATTATTTTTTTACACAAAATCACTCCACTTTTATTATTTTCGACAATTATTGCATCACTTTCCACTTTGTTCTAATTATTTTATTTGACAGCTCAAACTTCAAGGACGATGTCAGTAGGTGTCAAAATGGCGGACAGAATTCTTGTTGACAGTTGAAAATTTGGCGGTTAAATTTGAAAGTAATAATTGAAATTTGTAATTTTATAAATTAGAATATTAAACATAATTTATATTGTAAAAAATGTGTATTTATATTAATAAAAAATTTTAAGTTTTAACACGCGATTGAAGTAAAACTTATTTGCTACTGTACAAGATGGCATTTAAGTAAAAATAAATACATCATATAACAATTTTGAATAATGTTTAACCATTATACACATTTATATAATGATAAAATATATTATATAATTATAATAGCAATAAAAATATGTATAATATATATGTATAAAATCAATGTCATACTTCAAATATGACATGATCGGTTTGTCATTGTAATTAGCATTTAGAAATGAACCTTTATTAGAAAAATGAAGTAATTGCTGATTAATAAATTCTATAATATTCGTTCACACAGTGGATTATGTTAAACAACTTAATAAAATAATTGTGTTGGAAGAATTTCATTTAATTAACTAGAATTTACATACATTTATTGACTGCTTGTATTTTTTTACTTTTTCGCTGGCGATATAATCTCATTCTTTAAACAGCTGTAATATCTGTCTTGCCTAAAAAATATTTTTCATTTTATTAACTTCAAAGATTCATAGAAACTACGAATAATAATAATATAGAAATAATTTCTAATCAATAAACTTACGTTTAGTACACGGCCCAAATGTTTAACTTGTTTTATTATTTTCAAGGAACAGGGTAAAATATTTTCCTGATTCATGCATTTTTCATTAAATCAAGATTTATACTACGATGTAACTTAAAAATGTTTATTTATCTATGCCGATTTCCTTGTTGATATCGGTACGCATACAATGTTGATGCCGGTACGCATACAACGACAGATCTCTATTCACATACACAACGACTAATCACAATCGACCCGTATCGAAATGATATCATCGAGAGCGAATGGCGAATCATTGGCACTCGAACTCGGCCGTAACGCACTTCCGTTGCATTTGTACGGATTTACACCCTAGTCGCGCCTAAAGAAGTTTTACTTCAATACTTCATTATTTATAAATTTGATATTTATGAATATATATTAAACATAGGTATAAATTTACAATAAAATATATTTCTACAAATATAAATATTACACAATAACAATTTTTTTGTCATCAATAAATCTAAAATAAATTTTCATTTTCATGTGTGAATAAATAAATGTATATATTCATTAAAACTAAACATTAAACTAAAGTTTTAATAATAATTTATAAACAATTATTATTATTATTTTTAATAATAATATTATTTCCCATTTTTTTATTTTTTATTGTTTCAAACAAATTAATCATCACTAATTGCTAAATTTTATTATTTCTAGTTTATAAACTAAGCATAATACGTTTTATATTAATAAAATGTTTATAATAAAAAAAACTTTAAAACTATTTCATTATTTTCTTTCATAAATTTAATTTGTACAAATTTTAGCAAAAAAATATACACGTGATGCGATATGATTTTTTTTTTAAATATAAATAAACAAAAATAAAAACAAAATGATGATAATTAATTGATTAATTAATTAATTAAAAATTATTTGGTAATACTGTCGATGTAAATGTGATTTTATGAGCAGTAAAATTTTTTTATACACTTAAAATATTTTAAAATTATTCTAAGATTCAAACCACTGTATATATGCAGTAAAACCCCGTTACGACGATTTTCTAAGAACTAAAATAGCGTCTTATGCGAGAAATCGTTATATGCTTGATCGTCTTAACGGTGTTCTACAGTATATATATAATTGTCAATTTATAATCCAACTTCTGGATCCAACTTTTTGCAATTTAATATAAAATTGTTAAGTATATAATAATTTTGTTTAATTAATTAAAAATAAAGAATATTTCACAGAAACTACAAATGATTGGTTGTAATAAAAATATTAATTATTTAATGTATAATGGAAATATTATTATTTGTTTAAATTTGTAGTAAATCTTTTTTCTATCTCTCTATTTGTAAATTCTGTAAGATTTTGATAGTTCTTTTTTCAATCAATGTTGCAACAGAAAGAAACTATTATTTATATTATGAAATTTATAAAGATAAAAATAAGAGAGAGAGAGAGATAATAAGCATAAAAGAGAGTAAAAAGTAAAATAATAAGCGAGACAAAATAATAACACAAGAGAGAGAGAGAAATAGAAAGTATAAGAAAATGAAATAAGAAGAGTAAAAGAAGAAGAAAAGAGAGAGAGAGTAAAAGAAAATAAATTAGAAAGAGTAAAAAAAGAAGAGAGTAAAAAAATAAAGAATATTTCACAAAAACTACAGATGTTTGGTTGTAATAAAAATGTTAATTATTTAATGTATAATAAAAATATTATTATTTGTTTAAATTTGTAGTGAATCTTTTTTCTATCTCTCTATTTGTAAATTTTGAAAGATTTTGATAGTTCTTTTTTCAATCAATGTTTTAACAAAAAGAAACTATTATTTATATTATGAAATTTATATTGATACTAAGATGAAAAAATAAGAGAGAGAAAGAGAGAGAGATAATAAGCATAAATGAGAGTAAAAAAAAAAATGAAATTCAAAAAATAATACACTGAAAATAGTGCGAGAAAATAATTAAACAAGAGAGAGAGGAAAAGAGAGAGTAAAAGAAAATGAAATAGGAAGAGTAAAAGAAAAAGAAGGGAGAAAGTAAAAGGAGAGACAGTAAAAGAAAAAGATAAAGAGTAAAAAAAAATAAACAGAGTATAAAAAACCAGATAAGAGAGGAGAGAAAATAATAAAACAAGAGAGAGAGGGAAAGGGAGAGTAAAAGAAAATGAAATAGAACGAGTAAAAGAAGAGAGAGAGTAAAAAGAGATAGTAAAAGACAAAGATAAAGAGCAAAAAAGAAGTAAAAAAAATAAACAGAGTATAAAAGACCAGAAAAGAAAGAATAAAAGACAAGGAGAGGCAGAGTATAGGAGTTGTTAAAAAAGTGAGGAAAAACAAGAGGAAGAAAGAGCAAAGATAGAAAAGGAAAGAAAAGAAAGGAAAGGAAATAAAATAGATTGAGAAAGAAGGTGCGGATGAGAAAGAGAAAGCAAAAGAAAGAGAAAGAGAAAGAAAAAAAGAAAGGGAAAGAAAGAGAAGTCAATGTTGAGAAAAAAGCGTAAATATATTATTTATCATCATATTTTCTTTTTTACTTTTATCTTTATTTTTTCAGAATTTAATTTCATAATATAATTTCAAGATTAAGTTAATAATATTAAGGGCTTCGATTAATTGAAGTAAATAAAATGGTAGTTGAAGAAAGTTGAAAGAGAGAGAAAAAAGTAAGCTATATAATTTTCCTTCCTTTTTCAAAAATTCTAAATGAATTCAAATTTTAAATTCTTAGGACTGTATAAAAAGTTTTACTTAAATAAATTTCAAACGTCAATTTTAACGAGGATGATAGAAAAAAGAGAAAAAGAGCATTTACAATAAATTTAAGGTTCAAATTTTAAATATTCATATAAAATCAAAATAAAATAAGATAATCGTCATTTTGGACGTCCATAAATAGAATCCCTTCTTAACCTACCTAAATACAAAACAAATCACACTTACTTCCGAAAACCGTTACTTCCGGCCACCAACCTCATATTTCGTCCGACGATGTATTATCGACCGCCAAATTCTCAACCGCCGGCTGCAATAACATCGGTGGTGCCACCACTATCGGCGTCTTTTCATCGTTCAGCGTCAAAACCGTCAAAGTCTGATCACTCGTGATCTTCTGTGCATCAATATGCAACTTATGGACACCGTTGTCCAACCCTGAACCGCCACTCTGATTCCCCGGCACCCTGTTATCGTTCAAATTCAACCCTGAACCTTGCAGGATGGAACCGCCGATTGCGTTCTTGGCATCGGTCTGCAGCGATGTCGATTTTTCGTCAAAGGTATCGATTTTGGCAGGGAGCGGTTTCGGGGTTTCTACAGGGTTCATTTTGTGGGCGTTGACGTTTTGGCCGCCGATTATGGTGCCGTCTTCAGCAATTATGGAGTCTACTATGTCAGGGCCGCCGATTGATAAAGGCGAGTTGGCATTGTTGACGATGGCCATGCCCACACATTGGGTTGAACCGTAGACTCGAGCCTGTTGGCCCTCGATGGCGGTCATTGTTTCTGGCCAGCGGTCATCGCAAAGAACCGGATTATCTGATAAAAAAAGAATATAAATGAAATAGTAGAAGAGTTCTACTACAAAGATAACAATTTAATCTACAGATATATAAAAATAAGTCGGGTTTTCCTTCCTGACAAAATAACTCCAGAACGCACGAACCGATTTCGAATTTTGCATTCGTTGGAAAGGTCTCGGGCTCCGCAAGGTTTATAATTAAAAGAATTAGTGGTGCATGGCATCGTGCCTTAATGCAAATTGCTGGAACTTTACGCGCCGTAATTAAGAATTCGAGTAATGACATTAGTGAGAATTATCAGAATTATGCTTGGTTAAGTCAATGAGCAATTCTGGTCGCAAAGAATAATGATGTACACGCACTGAATTTCACCATTCAATCAAATATTGCTGGCGATTTGTTGACATACCAATGATTCCGACTGGTCTTCCGTTTGACTTCAAACGATTGCAATTTCCAGTTCGCCTTGCGTTCGCAATAATAAGTCGCAAGGCCAATCGCTTAGTGTTTGCGGGATAAATTTCAAATAGATTATTCAGAAAATCATTGTTTTTTACATGGGCAGTTATAGGTTGCCTGTTCACGAGTTGGAAAACCATCCGCTTTGTTTGTGTTAACGTCAGACCAAAAACAAAAAAATGTGGTTTACCAAAGAGCACTTCAATGAAACGGATAATTTGCGGATTTACTTCCATTTACTTGGAGAAGTTCAACTAAAAACACTTAATTTTTGTAATCGAAATGAATTCATTACTGTTGTGTAATAAAATCATTTTTTTCCTTTTCAAATATAAAACAAATAAAAAAATTCTTCATCTTTCTCACGAAACCTTGCCTGTTCACGAGTTGGAAAACCATCCGCTTTGTTTGTGTTAACGTCAGACCAAAAAACAAAAAATGTGGTTTACCAAAGAGCACTTCAATGAAACGGATAATTTGCGGATTTACTTCCATTTACTTGGAGAAGTTCAACTAAAAACACTTAATTTTTGTAATCGAAATGAATTCATTACTGTTGTGTAATAAAATCATTTTTTTCCTTTTCAAATATAAAACAAATAAAAAAATTCTTCATCTTTCTCACGAAACCATCTGGTGGCGAAACGGAGTTCGTCAGGTTTGCTAGTTATCTATATAAATATATATCTTACCTTGGAGATAAATTTTCAAGGGTGCTCCATGTATCGAGCACCTCGTATGTCTCACAAGCTCAGGAGACAAAATCTCAATCTCGTTGTGAGATAAATCTGCCCAGCACAGCGAAGGCAAACCATGGAAATCTTGATGCAAAGCTCTGATACGATTATGAGATGCAAACAACTCGTCCAAAGCAGGCAAAAGGTCTATCAACATAAATAAATTAATATCACACACACCAGACTGGAGAGGTGGTTATTTTACCTTTGCTGTTTCTTCAAGGGCAGTAAGTCTGTTATGACTGACGTCCAGGACTCTGAGGACATCCAGGCCTATAAGATCACCTGGTGAAATCCTTTCGATTAGATTATGAGCCACACTTAGTCTTACTAATCCCTGGACGCCCATCAGAGCACCGTCTAAAGATGTTAGACGGTTGTGGTCCAGGCGGAGTTCTACAATTCTGGTTTCTGATTCGACTAAATTCTAGCAAATAAAATAAAATAAAGTTAATTAATAAAAAGAAATTTAAAAAAAAATCATGTTTGCTTGCCATGTTGTCCAAACCTAACACAGTGCTTTCTCAACATGTTTACTTGGACTGGGATGCACATGGTAAGCGTTTCTTCAATATTTTTTGGCACAAGTTTTTTCAAAATTATATAAAGATAATTAAAATATCCTCTATTACCTCCATTCGTCCAGTGATCCTTTCAACTCGATTATGAGACAAATCGACGACTCTTAATCGTCTCAACCCTCTCAATTCCTGGACAGAGAAATCCTTGAGCAAATTGTGAGTTAAATTTAAAGTCCTCAATAATTTCAAAGGTAAAAGACTTCCATTTAAGGACGTCAACTCGTTGTAGCCCAATTGGAGGTCCTCCAGATTTTCGGTTTCGAAGAAATCGTCATCAAATAACTAGAAAAAAATATTAGTAGTAACAACTTACTAGCAAGATGTATCCAAAATCTGTTTAGTGTCTTTGCAATTTGCTTTTTATCTACTTATCTATTTATCTAATTATCTACTCACCTCTCTAATATTATTATGACTGAATTGTAATCTCTTCAATTTTCTGCACCTCTGCAAAGCTCCATTGAAACCGGTGATTAAATTGTGCTGAAAGAACAACGACTCCAAATGTTGAGAACCTTTGAAACTCTGGGGTAAATGTGTCAATCTGTTATTTGCTGCATGGACCAAAATTAATTTGTTACCATTCTGCAAAAAATAGTAAAAAATAGATAATGGAATGAAAAACAAAATTAATTGCATGAAATTATTAGCTAATAATAACAGTGTAACCAGTGGTGTTGTCGAGCCGGAACGCACCGGAACGTCGTTCCGGCAAATCATTTTTGGGCCGGAACGCGTTCCGACAGAAAAAAATTAAAAAAAAATCGCTACATACAGAAAATAATTTAATAAGTGAATTGTATAAATTTTAATTCAACTAATTTTTATTAATGTTCCTATTATTGTAATAAACATACATATATGTGCACAAAATGACTTTTGTAATAATTTTTGTTTCTTTCCCTTTCGAACGAAACCGGAGCAAACATGAAAACCGATTTTTGAACCGGTTTATGAACCGGTTTTTAAATTCTAGCGTTCCGGCAAAAAATATTAGCACAACACCACTGAGTGTAACGTAACTGTTACGTAATTAACAAAAACGAAGTATCTACGTTGAGGTCTATTAAAGGTTACAACTATACGTAACATTTACGCTTTATTAACGTAACCACCAAATACGTAACGGCGTTTCCTCCTCCGTGCTACGTTATTTTAACTTAATTAATCGTTTGTGGTTTGCTGGGAGATGATGGGTTGATGCATTTTAAAAGACGCTTTTTAGGAGAACTGTTTTAGATATAGTTTTGAGACTATAGCTGGCTTTAGATAATATGCTATAGTATTTTACAATTTTTTTTCAAATTTTTTGTACTTTGATAAATATTTTTTTATATTATAAGCAAATTGCACTACACAAAAGACAATCTTAAAATATTTCAAAACAATTTCTTATTAAAAATCGTTTTTTAAAAAACCATAATAGATATAGTTAGAAACAAAAACTGAGTTTAGATAATATACTTAAAAACTTTCATACTATATCAAATAATTTTTACCAAATTTTTACTTTAATATTAGTATTTTTATAATAAATTAAGTTCAAAAATTAATTTGGAAGTCATTTTTATGTTTATAATATATGGTATATTTTTCATACTACTTAAAATCAATTAAACTAAATTTTAATCTAATATTTCTTATTTCTTATCATTTTTATATTTTTTAAATATTTAGTTTACAGAATTTATCATTTTTATGATTCATAAAAATGTAATCAAAAGTTGAATTTGATTCAACGATTTTTATAGCCGGCGCCAAATTTTGTTTTTAAATAATAACTTTACGTAATCGAAAAGTTTAATTGATTTTGAGAAAAATATGATTTGCAAAAAAAGAGTGCTTAACGCCAAAAAGTGTATTTTCATATTAACATTTCAAAAAGTTAATATTTTGAGTTTCTAGTTTACACTTGCGATCCGTATACTATCGTTTTGTATATAAATAAAACTACTTACTACAATTTAATTATAATTAAATGATATTCACGCAAAACATCATATTAAACGTAGTTGAACTTCATCTGTCAAAAACTTTTGACATTTAACGTATTAGCCACCGTCCATTGTTTTATTTAAATTACGCTTCTACATAAAATTACAAATTAAAAATGTAAAGTTTCTACGCGATTTTGTAATAATATCTCACCTTTCCGACAATCTACTGATTAGCACGAATTTTTCAAGACTAAGACTGACCAAATCGGTTTAGCCGTTTTCGAGTTTTAGCGGATCATTTTATCAAGCTCCATTTTTATATATAAAAAGATATACATACATATATTGGTCATCACTGCTCTAAAGAATTTTTTATAACTCACCGATGGCATTTCGTCGTCGAGTGTCGTCAGCTGGTTGGCGTTGATGAACAACCATTCTAGTTCTTGTAAATTTCTTAGAGTTCCGTTGAGGGTGGTCAGAGCGTTTCTTCCGACGTGCAAATGTAATAATTTTGGAGGCAAAGAGTGTCTGTCCATCCTCGAAATCAAATTGTTGACCACTACAACGTGCTGCAGTTGTTGGGCATACTAGAAAGAAAAAAAAGTTAGAAAAGATTTTAAGGGTACATTTTTGCATTTCTTTTGACTTTAAAATCTCAAAATTAAAAAATAAGGAAAAAATGATTTCCAATGACCCCAAAAATAAAAAATAAAGAAAAAATGATTTTAAATGACCTCAAAACAACAACAATGAAGAAATATCTGTTTAATAAAGGGACATCTATTTCTACTGACTTTAATATAGTCAGCAATAAACACTGAGGTCTGGGTATACCAAATGGGTATACCAACAAAAGTCCGGTATCAGGTAGTAAATGCGTTAACTACGATGAACCGAGGACTGAAGACCAGTGATTATGGTGCTGCATTAAAATCTATATTTTTTAAATCCTCAAACAATGCTCCTTCAAAATAAAAAAAAAATCTATTTTCACTGACCTTAAAATCGTCCTGGGTGATTTCCTGGAGTCTGGCCCTGCCCAAATCGACTGTTTTCAATAGAGGCATATTTTGGAAAATAAAACTGGGAACAGCCGAAAGGACATTGTCTGCCAAACTCAAATACTGGGTCCGGCCCAAACCTTCGAAAGTCGACGTTGATAGTTCACTGGAAAAAGATAAATAGATAAATTATTAGATAAATATATGAACTAAGTGCAAGGGGCACTTTGCCTTAAAACAAGTTGCATACACTTCCTGATACTGTATGTAATCAACTTAAGATGTGAGATTTAGGGGTCAATTCTCAGATTAAATAGAAATGTTATGGTTAGTATGGTTACGTTCGAAAGATATGGGTTGGGAATCGACCTGATTAGTTTTTGGTACGCATACAACGACAGATCTCTATTCATATACACGACGACTAATCACAATCGACCCGTATAGAAATGATCTCATCGAGAGCAAATGACGAACAGTTCTGGCGTTTCACGAAAACAGGCAAACAAAATTAAAAAAATGGCTCACATACACATTTTATTTTCTAATTTGGTGTCAAACGATTCAGACTGACACAAAACTTAGAGAAACAAAATCAGCAAATCGGATGTTCTGGCAAAAGCATAAACATGTAGGCAGTAAAATCGTCAATCATATTTTGGATAAATTATTAATTAACTAATGCCATAAATTGTTTACGACGATTTGAAATAAAAATTTTGAGGTTAAGTCGTAAACAAATTAAAATCCTTGATATTTTAATCAGTATATATATATATATATATATATATATATATATATATTAAATATTTTGCATATTACAATTTTAAACTAGTTATATACTAGTATTGTATAGTTACAACTGAATTTGTAACATAAATAGATGATTACAAACATAAAAATGTATATATATATTAGGGTGGTCCTTAAAATGGTCATTTTCGAATTTCCTTGCTCCCAGGGGCTCAAATGGTTCCAAATAGATAAAAAACAATTCTCTGAAAGTTTTAGCTCTTAATATTAACGTTTAGATAAAGCGCAATTCAATCAAAGTTTTGTATGGAAATAGCATGGAAAAATTTTCAAAAATTTAAAAAATGGTTTTTAGATGTAATTTAGTGAAACAAATGAATAAAACTCATTCATTTGTCGCTAAGTTATACCTAAAACATTTTTTTTAACTTCAAAAATTTTTCCATGCTTTTTCCATACAAACTTTGATTGAATGCGCTCTATCTAAACGTTAATAATAAGAGCTAAAACTTCATTGAGAATTGTTTTTTATCTATTTGGAACCATTTGAGCCCCTGGGAGCAAGGAAATTCGAAAATGACCATTTTAAGGACCACCCTAATATATATATATATATATATATATATATATATAATTGATAAAATTTTCTACAAAAGTATAATATATAAAAAACAGTACAAAAATTCCTCGTGGAAAAAAACTACGTACAAAAATAAGAAAAGAAAACAAAAACTTCAATAAATTTTATATTGTTTACTTTTTAAACTCTCAGTGCACGAGTAAAACCTTCACTTAGCTCAATATAAATTGAGATTAGGACATACATGGTGTATGTCTATATATGATGTATGTCCTAAGGGCACACACCAAATGCATTTTTATAAATAAACTACTTTTTATAGGCCTATAATATTTTTAATAAGAGCCTTAGCACTTTGCAAAGTTTCATTAAAGAGCTTTTAAATTTTTAAAATCGGTGCAGCAGTTGAGAAAACGCCAAAGAAAAATGAAATCTTGTAAAATTTTCAAAATTTTGACAAAAAATGTTTGTATCAGGCGAACAGAAGCTCGTGTTCAAATTAATTTCTTTATCGATAGGTGAACGTTCTTATTTTTCCAATTTTGCTGTCAAACGATTTAGAATGACTTGAAACCATAAAACTACCAAATCTGATTTTCTGTAAATTTTTCCTCCGCCCTTTGGATGGAGCAATAATTCCTCGCTGAACAAAATCTCATGGTGTCAATCGGTGTCAACAATTATCAATTGACATGTCAATAATACTTGTCAATTGTCAATTGACATGTGTCGGAAAATAATTGACCTGTAAATTGACATGGGAACGAATCATATCGGATCTATTTGTTTGTATTTATAGAGTTCTGAGTAATGAAATTATCGATTGCTATAGTAAAATGATAATTTTATGTTTTTGCCAGAAAATCCGACTTGTAATTAACAGATAAGCAAAAATGCTGAACCGATTTTGAAACTGTTCGAGGGAATCTCGCAGATTTTTTTTTGAAATTAATTTTTGAACATTTTTTGTCTTGCAATTTTAATGCAACTTTGTATGTTGATAAAGTTCATGGTCTTATAGAACAATCTAAAAGATTATAGGCCTACGGAAAGTGGTTTAATTAAAAAAAAAAGAGTGTGCGTAAAGTTCACACGCGATTGAAGTAAAACTTATTTGCTACTGTACTAGATGGTATTTAAGTAAAAATAAATACATCATATAACAATTTTGAATATTGTTTATTAGTAATATGATAACACTCGTGTATTTATTAGTGTCAACCATTATACACATTTATGTAATGATAAATTATAAATTATATATTTATAATAGCATTAAAAATATGTATAATATTTAAAAACAATAATGCAATTAAAGTCATACTTCAAATATGACATGATCGGTTTGTCATTGTAATTAGCATTTAAAAATGAACCTTTATTAGAGAAATGAAGTAATTGCTGATTAATAAATTTTATAATATTTGTTCAAATATTGTTTTCGCAACTTCACTATCATGTAATTGTGTTTGAAGAACTTAATGTAATTAAAATTAACATACATTCATTTTTCGCTGGCGATATAATTACACGACGTCTAATCATCATCGACCTGTATAGGAATGATTTCTTCGAAAACCGTGACGCACTTCCGTTGCATTTGTACGGATTTACACCCCAGTCGCGCCTAAAGAAGTTTTACTTCAAAAATTTATTAGAGCTTGATGGGAAACTTAATGAAATATTTATGCTGATTATGATGAGATTTATTGTGTGCAAAGTTGGGCTTTTGAAAATAAAAGCTTAAAGTTTGACAAGTACTTGTAAGGTTGGAGCTTTAAGTTTCTGAAACTTTGAAAGGTCAACCGCAATGTGGAGATATGTATTATTTTATGCAAATTTTCTCCGAAGAGCTAGACTACAAAATATTAGTTTTTTGCACGTTAGAACTTTTCCAATTGCTTAAAGTTTGAGAAGCACTGGTAGATTGGATTTATGTTTAAGTAAGTTTAGAGATATACGAAATTTTATGAAAAGTTTCTTGGGTAGGTCAAAGTTTACAGAAGATGCATCAGAGCTTTTGGACTTTTAAAATTAGAAGTTGTAGTTTGAGAAGCACTTGTAGACACCTTCTAGCTTTATTTTGGTTTTTAGAACGTTGAAATATATTTTACACTAGTGGGGCGCATTGCATGGTGCCTTAAGGCAAATTGCTGGAACTTCCCGTACCAAAAATTATTTTTTTTATAAAGATTAACATTTTTAAATTTTTACTTTGAAAAAATTAGATTTTCGAGAAACTATAAATTTTTGGAAATATTTTTTTGGAAAGACTTTTTGAAAAAAAAATGTTTCCTTTATTTTGAAATATTTTGGAAGTTCTGAACATTTTTCCAAAGCTTTAAGTGCATAGAGACAAAATATAAAAGCGCGTAAGCGCCGCGTCGCCGTCTAACGTTAAACATTGGTACGGAACCCATAGGAATGTAAACAAAATTTATACTTATTGTTAAAATCTCTATAAGAAATCTGATAATTTGAAGTGCATATGTCTAATGATCATTTTTGACCGCCAAATTTTTTTTAACTTTTTTCACTAGACCTCCGAAAACGCTAGATCTGCCTTTATGAAAATTTAATGAGTTGTTCAATACAAGTAAAATGTTTTTTGAATTATTAAAATCGGACACTACGTTTTCTTAAACTTTGTGAATAATTGAAATCGGTTGAACCGTGTTCCCGAAATCGTCGTCAAAATTTTGTATCTGCACACACACACACATACATCAATTTTTTCTAAGGTATGCCAAAATATTCAGAAACCTCTGAAACGTAAAGATATATAAAAATTTTAATTTTCGTTTTTTCGCGATTACTATAATTTACCCTATGGGAAGTTAATAATGTGTAAAATGTGTATAAATATTTCAAAATGTGTATACATACGTATTCAATTTGTAAAAATGTGTATAAATATGTATAAGTGTGTTTGAACATGTATAAATGTATATAAACAAGTGAGACAGATTAAAATGAGCAATTACTTACATTATAGATCTTTATCAGAAATAATGTGATATGAAAGTCAATTACTTGTAAAGATATATTCTTACATACATACATATATGTATATACATATTTGTATATATGTAAATATATATATATATATATATATATATATATATATATATATATATATATATATATATATATATATATATATGCATGTATAAATGTATATACACAGGAATGCGTTTTATACGATTATCTCAATTTATAAATCAGGCGCCATGCAGATTAATTCTTTTTACAACTCTGTATAGGAATTTTACTCGTTTAAAATCCTATTTGAATTTAAAACTATGATAATAATTATAATTAACTATTGGGGTGCATGGCATCGTGCCTTGAGGCAAATTGCTGGAACTTCCGGTACCGTAACGAAATGTTCGGGGAATATTGAATGTTTTCAAATAGATTATTATAAATACTGTAACATTGTATAATATTTATAAGAATTGTATAAACTGAATCACAAAGTCAAAAATATGTATTTAAAGTAAGTATATAGTAAAGCGTAGTAAGTAAAGTATATATAAGTGAGCTTTGAAACTTTAGCCAGGAATAAAATTGAAATCTGAATTATTTTCGATACACAAAAAAAAGTTGAAAACAAAAAAAAATTTAAATAATTTTTTTTCCAAAAGCAATGATATTGTCAACATAAGCACACAAGTTTTTTGAACCATTCAATTCGGATGCTATTTTCTCTCAAAAACTGCCATTTTTTGTATATTTAGCTCTGTATCTTCGAAGCGGCTGGGCCTGCTTCTGCCAAAAACTAATAACCACTTCTCCCAATCATTATAAATAGAATGTTTTTTAGATTATTC